TGGCTTGCAGATTGGATCACAATGATTGTGTGAGGTTTCTATAACCTTGTCATGATGAAGACACACCAAGGCCTCAAACCACCCCAGGTCTCTTTAGCAGATGCTATAGGAAAGGACAAGGCCACCACAGGCCAGGCCTCGCTGAACAACCTGCACAACAAGACAGCACAATGAGGGAGCACGCAGGCATGCAAAAACACCTATAGCACCCTGAACAGGCAGTATCGTCTCATTGTTCTCACCCGTTTCTACCCACCTTTTCTTCAAGTGATCCCACCCTCTTCAAATCTAGCTCAAATCCAGCACATCCTCAGGGGCGTCTGCTGTCCCTTAAGAACCTTTTTATCTTCTAGAAAGGCTGGATCCCTCTCAGGTGTTTTCAGGCTGGCTTCATGGGGTCAGAGGAGCCTCTACAGGGAAAAACAGAACATCACACAGTGCAAATAACTGAGCCACTAACTCCTTAACTGCCCACACAAGCATGTACTGCTAACACAACAAGATCTGCACTAGTTCACAATTTCTTGGAAAACTGCCATGTGACATTCCTGTCACAGCCCTGTTACGGGATCATTTTAGAAACATATCTGAGCAAACAGAAACGAAAACTGATCCTAAGGTAGTTACTCACCTGTGGCATCCACTCAGAGATCTGTAAAAGCTTGTTCTACAAACCAGTCCCCTCCATTTTGAGGGAGGCTTCCAGCAGTCATACTTGTGTGACGACAGCAGTGACTGTCTGAGGTTTCTATAACCTTACTGTGAATTGAACACATCAAGGCCTCAAACCACCCCAGCTTTCTATAGCAGGCACTACAGGAAAGGACAGGGCCACCTCAGACCACACCTTGCTGACTAGCCTGCACAACATGGGGACCACACACATTTCTACACAGCTCCTCTGAAATACAAATCGACCATCTAGGGAGCCATACAGACCAGCACATCTGGATCCAACACACAGGAAAAAACAACAGAAATAAGGCACCACCAATAACTTTTTAAGATGGTATTCAATTGGAAATTACATTCTATAAAACATTCACAGATGGTCACCATCTAGCATGTCCTTTAAATAAAGGAATTTTTAGCAAAGCATAGAAAATTAAAGAGCAGCTAGTCAATGGTGCATGCGTTACAGATGCCTTTACTCACCTGCAGAAGACGTCGTTTTCCATCTCTCAGTTCCATGTCAGGTGCTCTCTAGAAAAGGCAAATACAACGTTCAACTGTTTGCTAGACACTACAATTTCTTGTCTGTAGTGTTACACGTCAGAGAAAGATGTACATTTCTGTTCTGTGATTTAACGTATAAACCTTTTCGCTTGCTCAACTAAAACGGCAGAAAAGTGGCACACACATAGGACAACAGTTCAGGACCACTGAAAATCAGTATGAACAGCAGAAGTTGTAGTCCCAAATATAATGAATGCAGACACGAGATAAAACAGATTTTAAAGTCTCTCACTGGATACAGAAGGAAATATTTTTTTCTCTCCATGTGAACAAAACGGATACGAGTCTCCAACTCTGTAAGCGATCAGACGGCTGATGTGTGAACGTCGTGTAACACAGCCATAATTATTTTAACCACTGAACATCTAACAGTACAAACCTGCAAATCAATTTTTATTACACAGTCTTATACTAGAAAGCTACAGTATATAGAAAGAAAACAACTCATGGAAACAATACTACAATCTATAGGAGATCTCCAGAAGGGGCAGCACTCAACGCAAACTAAACACGTGGGACACAATGGGAGTAAAGAAAGGTGACTAAAGACGAAATATAACTTTGTACTTAGACTAATATTAGTATTCAAATCGTGTTTAACAAAATAACCATAGTTCTCTCAACAAAAGGACGCAAGAGCGGGAAAATACAAAGTCTCCCTCCTATCGAGAAACGTGTTTTCTACACTTATTTATCATAAAATAAACTATTTGTTCGTCTTACCGCTTATAGGACTTGTGCCGAACCTCCACAGTAACAAGCCTTTTCGGTGCTTTAGGATGGCCACAGATTATACCCACTGCTCCCCGACACGCCATTCTCTTCCCTCTTCACTGTGTTAAAGGAAGAACAAAATGCATGCCTGCAACTTTTAAGATGGTTGACGCATGCCCAAACGCGTCAGTGAAGCCAAGAGGCCAAGAATCGCCTGTGATACTTTGGGGGCAAGTTTGTTTGGGTAGGTTTTTTTCAAATGCGCTAGCTAGCGGTGGGAAGTTACAAATGGACTGCAAATAGCACACTTCAAGGAAAAATGTCATGTTCGGTGGCTGATTCTCTCCCAGCTCTGGTTTTTGAGTGTAAAAGTCTGGAATCAAGAAAGTAATGTATGAATATAGTTCAGAAATATATGCAGGTCATTTTTTCATTTCTCATCAAAAATAAACCGACAAACAGCAAGAAGTAAATGATCATATAAATATGCGTGTTTCGTGTGTTGTATGCAAGTGTGTGGATACCGCATTTCAAGCCATATTTGGTATGCTTATGAAAACCAGCTCAATCTACAGGTAATTTATTTTAGCCAACCAAACCAAACTTGCAT